ATAGTAGACTTATGTATTTCTATTTGACTAATAATATTTTGGATCAAATTATAAGAAAAATTAAGGCTATAAAAAATCCAATCTACTTAAGGATTATATTTTTTTAACAACAATAAACTTAAAATAATAAAATTAGAAAAAGATCTTATGACATTAAATATTACTATTTTATTATGATATTTAATTGCTACATTTAAAGAAAAAATCTCATAGGTAATATCTCCAAAAGATAGCAAATAATTATTTGTGACTTCTACATGTATGGATTTAGTTTTTTTTGACTAGCAATATCTTTTATTTTTTAACGAAGTCTTTATCTATAAAAGAAGCTAAGGCACTTGAATCTAACAAGGCTAAGATTTTGTGATTTTTTGGTCTTAAATGAACTTCTATTATAAAATAAGATGAGAGATTTGAAAAATGAATAAGACCTTTAATAGGTATTATGCTAGATTCTAATTACATCGTCTCTATTGTAGCTGAAAAAACTTGTTTTTTGATACATTGTCCTCTTTGGCTATCATGCTCCTCATTTTATAATTATATTGTTTCTTTAAATATTATTGATTAGTTTAGTTGGATTCTCCAAAATATAGGCACAAACATTTTTGACTATGACAAGTCTTTTCTTCCTTGATAAGATAATAATTTATTGAATTAGAATGGCTATTGCCTAAGGTAAGAAGTATAAAAAGTCTTGAAACAAGACTAAGAACTAAAAAGGCATTGATAAGAGTAAAGAAGGCTTCACTTTTTCCTATATATATACTATCTTACTAAGAGCTACATGTTGATGTTTTGCAGGACCTCTAACACGTGTTGACTTTATAAGACACATATTTTAACTTGCAAGGTAAGTTTTCTATATGTGCACCACATAATTAGTGTATTCTATAAGCTATTAATATGTATAGCATGTAGTTAGCTTATTGATCAGGTTTCTAATCTATTAATCAACTACAAATACTTATAAAATCAAAATCGCTTTTATTAAGCTTTTAAGAAGCTTATCTAAAAAATATTATGAAATTAATCTATATTTACTTAATTCTATCTAATCATATAGATAATTATTGGAATAAATATATATGTCCATGACACAAGAGTATATTGATCCTTTGGTTTTTCATGATTTATGTCCTTGATATGTAATGATAGAACCAAATAAAATAAAAATATTATTTTAATTTTAAAACATATAGTTGTATGTAAATTTAAATTATTTTTTATCCAAATTAAATTATAATTTTGATTATTGAAGCCAATTTTATTAAATAAATTAATAAAAAATAAGAATAATTTTATAATCATAAAAATCTTAATTTTAATTTTAAAATTAATATAAAAAATTATTATCAAAATTTTTAAAGTAATTATTTTTAATATATATATTAAAATATATTAAATAAACCATTTTATCACTCTATATAATGTTATCTTAAAAAAATTGAATCAATTATAAAAGAAGATTCACAAAATTTTATAAAGAATATAAAACTACAAATTATAAATATACACAAAATAATTATATTTATTTGGTGTGATTTTTTTATATATATTGACTTATTTCAAGATTATAATTAATGATGTGAAGGCATAAATTATAGCTACATCTATTATTACTATGGATATATTTATTTTTATTTTGGCCACATATTTATTGTATAGAAAAAAAAAAAAAAAAAAAAAAAAAAAAACTTTCCAAAAGCACCATTGACATTCTAATCTTAGTTCCTTGTTACTACTTTGTTCCTTTTTTCATTGTCCATATTGCCATAGACATTGCTGACACTCAAAAAAATATCACTAGTACATATTTTCCCTTCACATTACTTAAACCACCTTTATCAATCCTCACAAGAGCAATGTATGCCTTGAAGAAAGAGATGTAGAAAATTTCTAAAAGTTTTTGTGGCTAAAAGCAATAAAATTACAACAAATGTGATTAATGTAGATAGAATTATAACTATTATAAGTTGATAAAGAGACCATGAAATATAAGATTTCTAGTATTCTTTTTGGTTGCCTCTTCAAGATGACTAGAATAGAATATGCAAATGGTTGCTGAATGTTTTAGGTCAAGTAGCTTCAATACAACTACAATTATTCTTTCAATCTTTTTGAGCATCTAATTTATCTTTATCTCAGTAAAGTTCATAAGGAAATTAAATAAGAAATTCTTGATGTAAATGTAATAGTGAAGAATATCTAAATGCATTTATAGAACATGGAAGGTAGAGCTTCTATTTCAAAGTAGAAGCTTTATAACTTTTTTAAAAAAAAGTCACTAGAAAGAAGTTAAATAGCAAGATTCTTAAAAATTCTTTGGTCAAGATTTTTTGTGCAAAAAATTATAAAATTAATATGAAGCACAACTAGTACAATAATACAATTGATATCTTTTTTGATCATCTAGAATTAATTCAATTTTGGAATACTTACCACATATTTTTGAAAGATGTCTCATCAAAATTAATAGGCTAAAATATCCCCTCCTTTATATTTTAGTATCATTGAATTGTACCACCTTCTATATATATATATATATATATATATTTATCTTTTGATAAAAAATAAGCATAAAACATTGTATAGCAAGACTATCAATTATATTTCATACATACTCCATAATAACCAAGTTTTATGTAATTTTGTTGTGGATTGTGAATTTTCTCTCATAGTTTTTTTGAAGCAACATTTTCTTGTCATTAACATCTTTCTTTATATGTAGCAGATTAAAAAAAAATGTTGTAATAAACTACAAACCAAAATTTGTTAGAAGACATAAAAAAGACTACCAAAACTTTAATAAAGAATAAAGAGCAAATGATCTTGTGTTTTTTTTTGTTGGTTTTTTACATTTAGGAATCATCATTTTTATCTTATACGGACATATATTTAATATAATTATTATCTACGTGATATGAATAGGTAGAAGTAGATAAAAGTAGATTGATTTCATAATATCTTCTAGAAAAGCTTCCTAGAAGCCTCATAGATGCTGCTTTGACTTTACATGTGTTTATACTTGATTGGTAGGTTAGAAACTTAGTCAACAAGTTAACCACATGCCACATATGTTAATAGCTTGTGGAACAAGCTAACTATGTGGCGCCCACATAGAAAACTTGTCTTGCAAGTTAAGATACATGTTGTGCAAAATCAACATATTTTTGGAGGTCCTATAGAACGTCGCTACGTAGCTCCTAGGTAGATAGTATATATAGAGGCAAGAATGAAGCCTTCTTCATTCTTGTCAATTCCTTTCTGGCTTTTAGTCTAATTTCAAGGGTCTCTAGTTTTCTTGTCTTTTGGCAATAGCCATTCCAATTTCTTTTTTAATATACATATTTAATTATTTCTATTTTTTCATCTTTCTTTGAGAAAAGTCCCACTTGTTTATTTTTTTTTATCAAGTTCTTGTCCTTGACAAGAGGTTGGAAATAAGCATTTTTACAAATATTGGCATCTTCTTCTTCTTGAATAACTTAAAAGACTAAAAGAAACCATATTAGTCATGTTTAAAAAAGCTTGTAATAACTTTACTAATTTTTCTATTTACTAGCAACAATTCATAGTAGAAAACTTGTACAACCTATTTCAATAGGCTACAAAAGTCTTAGATAAGTTGCAAGTAATGACCGCAAAAGAAAGGCACTGACCTTTTTAAACTTCACAAGATAACACTTTAATTCATTGAAATCCATCTAGTTTTGAGTATATTGAAGGACAAAAAAAAAAATGAAAGAAGATATTTGTAGAGACCGTAGTAATATTAGACACTACAAAAGCTTGAAGATATACTTTGCAAAGTATTTGCCACTATTGCAAAAATTACAACAAATTGTTTAAATGTCCTTCTATTGTTTACTATTTATGATGCAATAAATTTTTCTTTTAGAATTTCAAAAATTGCTTATTTGGCTACCAAAGGGCATATTATTGCCAATGTTGGTGATTCATTGTATTAGTCATTTTTATTAAAATTCAAAGCAAGTAATTGATTAAAAAAAAGAACTATCTTGTCAAAAAGATGTGGCCACAATAATAACAAGTGTGACCTCAATTATTGCCTAATATTTATTCATTGATAACAACAATAATATTTTTATTATGCATATTATCATTTTTATTATTACACTTTCATTGTTATTTTTTTTAAGTCCTTGGAGGCTGATTAGAGATAATAAAAATCCATTTGTATATTGGAGACATTTTCAAGTGCTTAAATGCAACTAAGAAAAAAAGTTTATATGACACAATCTTCAACTCTTAAGAGATATAAATTTTAATAATTACAAAAGAAGATGGGAACATTTTTTTTTTATTTAAAAGATTAAGTTTTTGAGATATCATTGACCAATTGAATGCTTTAAGAATTTAACCAATTTGATCAATCTCTTTCATATGTATTTTAGAATTTTTCATATATTTAAGAATGTAGTACATGTTATTTTGAAATAATGCTAAAAATATATTTGTTCTCTATGTAAATTATATTCTCAACAATTTTGGATATAGAACAAAAGAGCTTCTATTGTATAAATATAAATATACATATATATATATATATATATATTATTAGATCTATAAGTAATTAATTACCAAGTTACTTTATAAAAAATCCAAATCACATTCATTATCTGTAGAATAAGCACCACTAAATTAATCCGTATGAAGAATAAACATGTTAACTACATCACTTCAGTCACTTGATACTCAATAAATTAGTTTACAAATCCTCCTACAAGTTGTTCTAATCAATCACCTAATTTGTTTATCCTACATTCAATAATACACCACCCACTCCCCATTCTCTATTGCCATTACTAAATTAATTATTATAATATTAAAGATAATTATAAAACCGAAATCTTAAATGAAATGGGTGCAACTCACAACAAGTTCCAAATATAGTTTAACTTGAGTAGAAAGTAATTACATCAAACATTGAGTGATTCCTTTTTCTTTTCCACCTGAAGAGAACTAGAGAAGAGAGATACACATTTCAAGACTTTTTGAATTGCAAAACTTGTCAAGAGGTCATTGTTGACCACATTCCAGTAAATGATGCCACTAATTTTTGACGATGCTATCTAGCTTAAATTCGCATCGCAAACAATCAGTATTTCTACTATCCAAGAAATTTTAAGCCTACTCATACTAGAAATGTCAGCCTTTGAAGGGATCGCCTAGCAACCTGTGAACTCATCACACCAAAGAAGGTATGAGCTTGATAAAAATGAAAGTGTAGGCTACAGACAACGCGGCACCGACTGGAATGGTCACCACCCAGGAAGCCACAATCTCCCGAACCACATCTGTTCGAACACTGTTGAGACCCCGTGCAAAACCAACGCCCATAACAGCTCCCACCAATGTGTGAGTAGCAGAGATGGGGAGACCTAACCGAGATGCTAGGACAACCACAGTAGCTGCAGCAAATTCTGCTGCAAAGCCTCGAGTAGGCGTCAACTCCGTGATCTTCTGGCCTATAGTGGCAATGACCCTATATCCCCAAACAACCAGACCTGCCACAATGCCGAATCCACCCCAAGCTAGTACGTCGACGGGCATGCTTGGCGGGCCGCCACTTGCAACGCCAGTTTTATGTAGAATGGCCAGAGCTGCAGATATGGGTCCAATGGCATTAGCCACGTCGTTTGCTCCATGGGCGAATGACATGAAGCAAGCTGAAAGGACTTGCAGGTATCCGAATACGCTGTAGACAATTTTCAGCTGCGTGCCTTTGGGTCCTTCATCCCTGCTCGCCTTCCCCTGCTGCTCCTCTTCGGATGGTAACTCGCAATACGCTCCTAGCAATTCCCCCAGCTGACGACGAATGACAATGTTGATAATAACGGCCCCTAACAAACCAAGACCTAAAGCCTTGCCTCCGGCCATAAGACCAACCCCCTGTGTTGGTAACACCGTGAAAGACAGAGCTGCTACACCCAAAAAAACTGCCAGCGGAGCGGCAGTGGCTGCTGCTTGTCCAGGATTCGGTGCCCTGTATACGAACTGTTCGAAATCACCTACAACCCTTCTCAGATATTGTTCTCGAGCGAATAGTGATTGTCAAGCATTAATAATCCTATCAAGATAAGTCCAAAATAATGTGCACAACCGTGGTTTCCTCTTTCTAAAACTAAATTAATACCATTATAAGGAAAACACAAGGTCTTTTGTGATTGATAACAATGCAGGATGAAGACATGTCTAACGAACAGATATCTAATTTTCCGTTGAAAAACCAGCATTGCACTGACTGACGCGAGAGCGAGGTGACTGACAATAATTGATGGGCTTGTAAAAGGAAGCAGTAGAAGTACGTACCCTTCGAATGCACTTGTAGACGAGGAACGAAACAAAAGCACCTAAAAGTGGCGACACAACCCACGATGATACAACACGAAATAGCGATTTCCAATACACGGCTCCAACTCCTCCATAAACAAGGCCGAATCCCACCATTGCCCCGATGATACAGTGTGTGGTTGATACAGGCCACCCAAAATAAGAAGCAACCTGCAACATATCGCATCTTGATAATGACCGAGTGCTGCAGCACAGTTTTCTAGCAAAAATATATTCATTCGTATCGATAACATGAAGGAAAAGACATCCTTCAACTTCAGCTATTGTTACTTTAAAATAAAGTCTTACAAAAAAGCCAGTACAATGGTAGGACCTGAAAACTGAGCTATGTTTAGAACCACAAATTCTACAGGAGAGGGACAGTCCCAGTCAGCAAGATTTGTGAGCTATAGGAGACTCCCAAGTTACAGTACACTCCAATCAAACTTCACAAGCAAGTTGAAACTCAATTCTTTACAGAGTTCCTACAAAATAGCACAATATTTCTGTTAACATTTCAATATCTCTATATCAGCTATCGTGTTATTAGATAGCTTGTTCTGGTGAAGCTGATACCCTTCTCTAAAGAGATTTAGAAAAAGACTTAAACTACAGACGTGCACTCACCTGAAGCCAAGTGCCAGCTGCTCCGAGTGAAGAGAGCATTCCACAGAACAACAAAGTCTCCTTGCCAGCGAAGACGCTTGGAGTTAGTATACCGGATTGCATGGTATGACTGACGTGAGAGCCAACCATAAATGCTCCAGAGAATTCCAAAACAGCTGCTGTCAAGACAGCCTGCCGCAAAGTTAAGGCACCTGAGCCTACCGAAGTGCCCATAGCGTTAGCAACGTCGTTGGCACCAATGTTCCAAGCCATATAAAAACCGAGAAGAAGTGTCAGATAAGATAACCCCCGAGTTCGTAGAGTCATCCCAACTCCAGAGGATGGCATGTACATCGGCAACACGAGAACTGAGATCGCAATGACAGCTGTAATCCCGAGAGCTGTACGAGGTGAGATGTCGAAGGCCTCGGCCATTCCTTTCGGTCCGCCATTCGTTGCCTCCTCCTTCACTATTCCCACTTCGGATCTAAAATCATTTCCAATATTTCCATGGAGATCTCCAGTCCCTGCATCTGCAGAGGAGGCTCTGCACCCTAAGCTTCGACGAGGTTTGATACCGCACCATTGAATTTCAGGCTTTAAGATCCCATCATTGTTCGGCTCAATTTGGATTGGCACGATTGACTTACACTTTTGCCTCCCAAAGCGATACAAATGAGGAGGAGTCCTGAAGCCGTGCACACCATTACGGGAAATGCGAATATGTAGGCTTTTTACATTACTTTCAAGAGGAGTGATACCTTGCCCCAACCTAGTCATGCTTCCCATGGTTGCTCTTTCTTGTCCTCAAGCGCCCAAGCCTTCCTCAGGCCTGCCAACAAGGCTATTCTAATATACGTGTCTACATGTATGAAAACTGCTGAGAATTTAGGAGCACACGCTAAGTCTTCAGCTAAAGCTGTCGTTATCCCACCCCTCAGAACTTCCTGCAGTGTAACGAACTCCTTGTAAGAAATCGACTTTGCCCGAATTTGATGAGAATGTCATCACAAAAGGGACCTCATATTTCAATGACACGATAACTCAGACACTACTAATGGGCAATTATGTGCTCCTTCATCCATAACTTAAGAAACTAGCGTAGGTCTAAACTTTTGCCCAAACCTCTCCGACCCCGATACTGAACCAGAATAAATAGGTGTATTGATGGAATGATTCCTAGGTCATGACGGCTTGAAGTCTGGTTTTGCTGCAGCTGTCATACGACTGCGGGCTCTAAAAACCGCCACAAAATGAAAACCTCAGACTGATATAAAAAAGCTAGTATATACACAAGAAGAATTCTAGGGCTTCGATATTTCCAAGCAAGGTTCGTAACAATCCTATACAGATTTCGTGCTTTAATGAGAATGGTCAAACGCATGTTAGCCAGCAGAGATGAAGTACTCTGCTCTGAGCAGCTTCCCCGAAATTCTAGGTCAATTAGGATAGGGCATCTTCAACCTCAAGGGGAGTGCTGACTGACCCATAGTCCTAAATCTACAACAAGAATATAGCAAATCCCCCCCTCAGTAGTAAGTGCAAGTCACAAAGCACCCATCCACTCCCTCTCAAATTCTCACAGCTCAACCTAAAAGACGAAAGAATCGCGTGCAGGAAGCCGCGCACAATGCAACACCGAACACTGAACCAGAACAGAAACGGGCAATGCAATACACGCTTACTTGACTGTGCTTCTTCGGTCAACCCAGCAGTGTTCCATTCTACCACAAGATAATCACGATAACCCTAGACAGCCTCCCCTAGATAACCAAAATAATACAAAAAAAAAAAAAAAAAAAAAAAAAGGACACACATACACACTCACACACACAAGAGACGATTTTCAACAAGCGGGAGGTCACAAACCTTTGAGTGACCGAAGCCCACATCTCGCCTTCACAACACCACGCTGCCCACTGATTCCACGACTCATTCACCGAAGGAATGAGCACAGGCAACTGATGCCGAGCACCACGAGGGGTGACGACGCGTCCCAGAATCCAAGAACCCAAAGAGAGTCACGACACGGAGTGCGTGGCGATGTTGGTCCTGAGCAGAATCCGGCTGCAGAAAGGCGATAAGGTTCCTCCGAAGGTTACGATTGGCTGTTTGGAAATGCCGCCTCAATACCACTGGTATCCCCACCCCTTTCCCGTGTATGCTCCAAATCAGACCCTGATTTCCCTCTCTCTGCGCCTGCACTCTCCTCACCCCCGACCTCCCTCCCTCCCTCTCCCTCCCTTCCTCCCCTCCTCCGGCGCCGTCTGGATTCCTCTCGCTCTCTCTCTCCCTCTCCTCACTTCCCCGTCCTTTGATTCTCCGCTCCGTTACTGCGGCCTCGAATTGTTACATTCGCACCATATAAAGAGGGGAACGTAAGGATGGGGAAAATAGATAGATAGATAAATAAAACTACACACGTTCTGGTAACGGAATCTATGAAAAATCAGGTTCTGGATGCAAAATTAGTTGCGGTGTGGATCTAATCGGATGCCGGAAAGCTTCGAAAGATCCGTCACCGAGGCCAGAATTTAGCCTTTGGAGGCGAAAATCTGTTACACCGCAACGCCCCCACCCCCCAGCGTGGCGGAAGCAAAGGGGGGAAACATGTATAAATTAAACTGTAAAATAAAAATAAATTTTTGCGTGCTCTGGCACATAAAAAAATCAAGCTTGTGTATGGTCTGGCATATATGGTGACACACACAGTCATCATATATTCATGGTTGATGTGTCTCTGTGTGCCAGAGGTCTTTGTCAAAGGTTGGCATGCTACCAAATTTGTGGATTTGCATCAAGAAGTATTTGCCCAAATTATTTATTGCATTTTTGGCAGAGTGATGTCACAACAGTGTTCAACTACATGCTTTTGAAAGGTCTCTTGATTTCATGTGTATTCATGTTAGACTATTTGTAATAATAATATTAGTTATTGTGTGGTATCTGGATTGATGTCATATTTTTGTATTAAATAGTAAAGAATTGGCACTGTCAAAAGTGGTTGGGCTAAGTAAAGCAAAGGTTATTGTGGATGGATCTACAAAGTAAATAGAGTTTTTGTTGTAAATTATATTATGCTAGTAAGGGAATTAAAAAGTTAAAGCTTGTTGTACATTATTACATTTTATTAAATATCAATATACAGAATTAGTTAACACTAAGTTTCTATAGCAAGTAGAAGATAAATATATTATACTTTTGCAATGCAATTTTAAATTTTTTAATTACATACCTACAAAAGTATAATTTTATTTTCTTATATTGTAAATATAGTTGTCTTCTCAATAATCAATCTTCCAAAAACTAATAATTCTCAATAATTAATCAAAATTTTAGAAATAAATTTTTTTATGATGCATAATTAATAAACTATTATTTTTAAAAAATGATTTATTTTTTATTGAAATTTATTAATTAACAAAGATGAATACTTATATGTGATTAGACGAAATAAGGCTATAAGGATAGAAGTGAGTAGCCTAAATTGCAAATCCTAATAAGGATGATTTCTATTATGCCTTCAATGTGCCAACTTTATTAATCAATTATTCATAATAAGTAGTACCTTATTTTTACAACAAAAAATATTAATTAATGAGAGAACAACTATATATTTAGTATTTATTGATTTTTTTAATCTTCAAATGTATATATATTTTATACATATATATATATATATATTTTTTATTTTTTATAAAATATTTTTTTATTAAGAATCTAATTTTATTTATTTATTTTATTTTATTTTATTTTTTATATAAGAACATAGTTTAATTTGGGTATAATTATGAAATATAAAGAGATTTTATAAAATAAAATTATAAAAAAATTATATTTATTTTAACTTATTTAATTATTTTAGTAAACAAGCAAAATTATTAAATTAAAAAGTTTATTTATTAAATTCTAATTTTATCATTAAATATACTTTAAAATAAAATATAAATATATAATTTGAATCTACAACAATTATAGTTTTTATGACTATTGATGTTAAAATATTTATGTTTTTTAATCCAAACACTATAATAAAAATACTTTAAAAATAATTACACAAATCTTACCCTAATCTTCATCATTATTACAATCATGGTGGCCGCCTAATCTCTTACCTTCTTTAGAAAAATCCTACCTTTTTATTTGAAAAGTGGCAAGAGATAGATTTCAATTCAATAGTCTTGCCATATCTTTCATTTCTCTCTCATGTTGTGTTGTATCATGCTTTACTCTTTGCCTATATTAAGCCTTGTTTTTCTTGCCTTATCGACTTCATGGCCATATTCTTAATTCTTTAAGATATAATATATCATGCACATTAAACAAAGCATTCTATATAGAGTAAAGATTTTTTTTCTTGTTTACTTATTCAAAGATCATTCTACTTAGTCATTGGAGTTTGTGACATGGGTTGTGATTCCAAGCATAAATAATTCAATTTCAACACTACGGACAAAAGAAGGCGTTGTCAAGAAGGCAAGCCTCCTTAAATAAAACATGAGATTCTTGATTACAAGTGGATTGTAAGGAGCACAATATTGCCCAAATAAACTCAAAGGCTAAGTACAAATTTTAAATAAATTTCTTTCTTGTCCTATGATACATCCAATTTCTAACTCTAATCTCAAATCTAAACCTCATTTCACTAAAATACCTATAACACACTTATTGCTCATTCAATTTAATCAAAGTTTAGCCCATTGAGCTTAACTCAAGTTATAAACTTCAAATTATCAAAGTTACTGAACAAATTTCAAAGAAAACGAGAATCAAACCAAGTAAAAGTTGGTAGCTTGTTGTAGATGTAGCCTTCAAAACTTTCATCTGCAAATTTATTTGGTTCTCCCTCATCACAGCTCTATTTTTTAATAACTAAGACTTATTGGAAAGCTAAGAATAAGATCTAGTTTTTTTCAAATCTCAATACAAAAAGACAAAAATATAATAAAAAGCATAAAAAATTCCTAATCAGACTTGAATTTCATTGCCTTAAAATTTCAATGATCCTCCTCCTACAAATTTGCATGAATCTCCTTTGTCATAACTCTTCCTCTTATAAGCTAAGGCTTATTTGAAAGCTTACAATAAGATCTTGTTTCTTTCTAGATATCAACACAGAAAAAAAACAAAAATATAATAAAAAGCATAAAAAATCTTTAATCAATCTTGAAACTTGCCATCCAAAAATTTCAACAGTCTCTCTTCAATAAATTTGCTTGGATCTCTTTCATCACATATCTTCTTCTTATATGCTAAAGCTTCTGAAAAGCTAACAACAAGATCTAGATTTTTTTAAATCTTAAGACAAAAAGAAGAAAATCCTATAAGTCTCATTAAAAACTCCAAATTAGTCTTGAATCTTGTTGCCCAAAAATTCCACTGATCTCCTTCCTATACACTCTTATCCAAAAAAATCTCACTTGATGTCAAAATCCCTACCCTAATCTTCTCTCAATACCTATCTTGAACCACTATAGAATCGAATATGTATATTAAAAGATAATACCTTCAAAGCTTGAATAATCCATTCAAACCAATAATCTCATATTCTAAATTTCATTCAAATTTATAAATATATTAGCATTATATTCCTCCTCTCTTATAAATAAATTTAATTATCTTTCAAATATCTTTGATGCATTTAAATTAAGTCCATTATAACATTCCCTTCTTTCAAACCTACACATATTTTGGTATTTATGAAAGAATTAGACTACAACACTTCTATCATCAGAACCAAAGTCACTATGAGCCATATTACTTTTGAACCATTGATCAAAATTTTGAGACTCAAAATCCTTTAAATCTTCTATACAATTCATCCCATCTTGTTACTTGAAGACTTTAATTTTTTTTCTTGCAATTTTAGATTTCAATGGTATCTCATTTAATCTTCAAAGAAAATAAGTTGCATTATCATATACTTCAACTACTACATAGGATTAAAACCAATCATTTTCTTTGGATGCAAAGACAAAAGTCTTATCATATTTGAAAAGCATCTTTAGAAAGTTCTTTCTTTCTATCTGATTTAAAAAGTTATATCCTCTAATCTTCAACTTATCCAAAGATTTTGTGCTATATTTGTAACCAATTCTTCTCGACTCATTCAATCTTAGTTTGATGGTAGCTTATTTGTTATATTTCTTGGTATCTTGAGTCAATTAAGTTGCCACAAGCTTAAGCTTCTTAGCCATGGTTTTATTCTTAGTATATACCACAGCTTCTTGGAATATCACATGACTATCAACTGTTCCATACCTCCTTTAAAATTCCAAAATTTCTTCATATATTTGCCTTGAATGAAGTTCTATAACAATATTAGCTCTACATCCATTCATATATAAAGCCAATCCATCTAAAATTTTTACATAATCATCTTCAAAACTTTCTTCCATAATAATATCCAAAATAAATTCACTACTTGAAATCACATCCAAACTTTTAAAAAAAATCTCATATTTCTTTATCCAACTCTTATACACATGACCCAAGTTTTTAACCTTTTGAAATCTCAAAACCTCCAAAGTCATCAAACTCAAAAATCTATACTCAAAGTTTTTTATATTGGAGTATATGGATAAAAGATTCACTTGCATCTTTATACTTCTATATTATATGAGTGTTCCTAAAAATTCAAAAATTCTTCATTAGTTCTCAAAAGAGCTTCTTTCAATTGGTTTTTATTTTGTTCATGATTCAAATTTATTATGAAGAATTGCATTAATCTTTTTTTTATTATAGTCCTTAATCACCTAAAACCTTAGTCTCCATCCTTATAGCCATGATATAAGATTGTCTTAAATTCATCTCATAAGTAGCAGAGTTTTACATAAAGAAATTTTGCTCCACCTCTACATTTCTAATCCTTGTCCTAACTTCCAAATATGCCTTATATAAATCATCTTGCTCATTATTGGTAGCCTTCAATATCCATGCATAATTAATATTAATGGACTACTTGTCCATCTCATAAATCCTCCTTCACATGATATTGATCTCTAATCCATGATCAATAAGTGCTAAGGTATACTCTTTGAAGTCTCTCAATTTCACTTGAGCCTCTATGGTAGCCTTAGTCCAAAAAAGATGTGAAAATTGGGCATTCATCCTCTCATCATCAAACCTCCAATAAAAAGCACAATTAGACACATTTATCTCATTCAT